AAAGAAATACAACACAAATACATGATAAATCGTCAGTGACATGTGTTCTTTTCGAGATTGTAATAATCCCTGATGCTGTTTCGATTAATAAAAGTCAAATATGAATTACAGTTTGTAATTGTAGTAACTAAAGACTTATTACTAAATATTATATTTTGATGAAATTCTAACATTTAGACTGTAAATGAACCAGTGAACATTGATTTTGTTATTTGCTTTTTTAGTATTGATGGAGTACGATATTTTCAATGTCCGGAAAAGTATGGTGCATTTGTGAAACCGCAATATGTTGAAACTGGTGACTTTCCTGAACTTGGTATTGATGATCTAGATGAAATTTAATTACTTATGATCTTTATATCAATCTCCTTGTATAAAAGTGGAAATATTTTTATGCATTCAATGGGAAATGTATCAAGCATAATATATTTGATAACCTTCAATGTACAATTTTTAAAAAAAAGTCATAATTGGTTCTTTTTGTTTATGATCGATAATGCAATGAAATAGATGGTCACGGTGTATAGTTTTTGTTCATTCGTTAAATACAGAAGAAATAATGAATTAACTATTGACACTAAATAATAATTTCTTCTTACTTTATCATTTATCATTTATTAATTAATTAAACAGCTTTACCTATCGAAATAAAGGTGTTTAATCTATCGAATGTTAAAAACTCGCTAGTTGAATTAAAACTGTTTAGTACATTACATAATGACATATTTCCTTGTTTTTGAACACTTGTAAAACACTCAATTTATAAGTGGGTTGAAGTAAAGAGTATATACCTTTGCTCATTTACCATAGGTTGTTCTTGATTGAGCAATGTTCGGATTATGTATATGATGGGGAGGATAACATGTTAATTTATATAGACTCACATCGATGACAATATAAACGGTAGAGATTTTAAAAAATCTAAGTAGATTTTTAGATCTGTATTTAGTTTCTTACAATGATAAGTAATCAACCTCCTATCACAATTCACCTTCATCCACTTTAGTGCATTTACGACGCTTTACCTCATTACGTAATGTGAAAAAGTCTATAGCAATCCACTCAATACCACTACGTAGAAACTCAAATATCAGTAGACTTTAGCTTTAAATTGTCCGTTTAATAATCAGTAAGGGAACGCAATGTATATTCTAGGTGTTGAGTTTGTCACTTTTACAGCTGCGGGGATTGTATCGATGTCTAGTCCAGTTTACCGTGTGATATTCTGGACATTATTCGTAGTTATACAAGGTATTAGTAAAGTTAAAAATTAAGTCGGCTCCGTGTAAGAATGGAGTATGTCCACGGTATTTGGAAGAGCATTATGACAAATCTAACCTGTCATGCTTAGTATCCTTCCGCGGGTAGGAATAACAAGCATCGCCGTGGAATTTAATACATGTACAGATTAGTCACATATGTACTGACGGATAGCGATAACATGTTATCATAATTGATATGAAGTAACATTGTTATCGTCCTCAAGTGCGTACTGAGTATTTCATACCAATATTCAGAATTTCCATAGAAATTTTTATTATCAATAACCTAAAGGATCAAACGAACAGATTCTGAGCCTAGTGTTGCAGAATACTGAAATACATTAGTTTCAGTGGCTTATTTTCCCAGTCCCAGTGAATGAGTTTTCGATAGACGAATCCATCTATACGTATGAAACGGGAAGAATGGCTATTTTTGTGATAGACTACTCAACCTAGCCTTGCATCATTAAACACTGATGTAATTTGTTAGGCAGTACGTTATTAGGATATCAGAGATCACTAGAGTGAGGATATCTAGATTGTCGTTCGTCAAATACTAACCTTTCAGTTACTAAACAGCAAGTCAGATATTCAATGTACGTTCAGATCCTCAGACATAGAAAGTGATTATGGTCCACAACATATCCTTTGAACTCAGATTATCCCGTTACAGTGACTCAGCCAGTATGGCCTTGATTATTAAACAAAACAGTAGAGAAACTGTTGATACCTTTGTAAATTAGTATTACACACTGGTGACAACTTAAATATTGTGTTTTTTATTTATATTTTGTAAACGTAGTATCATGTTTCACGTCGATTCGACGTAACTTATGTACCAAGTACATATTCATATACTCATTTTTGCACGACGCAGTTTGTAAGGACTGGGAATGCTTCCAGGTCGCTCAAACTGAGGTCAGTGGATCGGTTTATGAACATGAAACTTAGTAGCTAAAAGCTGAGTGACTTTAACTACTGTAAATTAGACTGAGAAAAATAGCGAACTGCCCGTTGTACATCCACTGAGCCAAATGCTTGATTTCCTTATCGTTAGTTGAATTTTTAGTGATGATTGACAACTAATCGGTATTACAACCGTCTTCAATAGTAAAACATCTACACCTAATCATGTGTATGAAAACAATGTCTGATGCGACTTGTTGCCTTTCCAACCAACCAGTTTATTTAAAGCATGACAACTAATGTTTCGGTAATAACTAAGTTTAAAGGTATCATAGATCATTATAAGTTGATTTTTGACCCTGTATTCCAATAAACTAAAGGTAGTCTGATTTTATGTCCTTCGTTCAATACCAGTGAAAATGAATTCATGCTTATGATAATTTATTATAAAAATAGATGAATGGTGGCTACCAGTGTAATCCAAGACGCGTGATTCATTCTATTTAGGATTGGTTAGCTGAATGCACCTGCTGCTCAGGGTTGATATTTACTCTGGTTTTCAAACCTAGTGCCGTTCTCTTCAAATGATATTTCATTAAAAACTTAGTGCAGATAACGAATAGCATTTACATAACAGTTGTACTCATATCATTTTAAATAAAAAAATTCCCATCCCGTTTACTCCCATAAAACTACTCTAAGGGAAGTCCTACTCACAGCCTTCTCGCAACATTATTGTTGCTTACGAAATCGAGAGTACGAAAAGCGAATGTCCGGCGCTTTAACCGGGTTGGTGGACACGGAGAATCCCCCTAAGTGAGTAGGAAAACCCTGAGTTCAAACTAGTGGTGCACATGAACTTCATAATTCTGAAGGAAAATAGCCTATAAGCAACTGTTGGTCACCGGCTACCATGAGACTGCATTTCCTGACGTTGCCCCACTGCCTTGTGGATTAGACCTCTAGGTCAAAAGTTCCGGGTGTGACCTCCTAAGAAAACCGCCTGCTTCGGTTTGGGCACCCGGGCAGTATCTAAGCCCCCACACAAATCCAATGATTTATGTGGCGTATATCTATTCGATGCCTCCTTGTACCAATGTTTATGTGTTTAAATAAATAATAAAAAACATCAGGGAACAAATTAGGTTTCATTTCTATGGGGTATGTAGGAAAACAGATGCGTTTTAATCTCGATGTCTATCAATAACCCTTATAGAGTTCGAATATAATGGGTGTATCTTTTTTTTAAGGTAACGGTCTTATATTTCACAGCAATGAAACCGTTTAGCAAATTTCGACATTCAATACAAAAAGGGTTATGTTATTGGGTTTCAACTAATCGAATTAAAACAATGTACAGCCAATTAACAAAGTATTACAAGGAACAAAATGTTTGCTCCTAAATACATGAGCACACATTTTGAAATACATGTTAACCAATCACTAATTACTGAATTTTTATCAATAGGAGTTAGGAGTCATGATAACCGTGATAAGCACTGGCTTGTGCAATGGCGTGGAGTTTAATTTGTTTGTATTAGTTGTTTGAACCTTCTCATTATTGTTTAGTACTTTATCTAACCAGTCTCGGAGTGAACATCAACTCTGCGATGCAGGTACATCTGGCTGACTAGATCTCAATAAGATGAAACACATGTACTGGATCCCACTGCTAGTCACTATCCATTTCTGCTTACAATTTCTGTGACTTAATGGTAATATCAAGGGAAGGCGCACAAAATGCATATATGCCAAAAGAGGCTGATCAATTGCAGTCCTCAACGCTAATGGGAAGTTTCAAACAACCAATACAAATAAATTACAATGTATTTCATGTATTAAACGTCAAATTCTTAACCAACCTCATAGAAGATGTGAATTCATTTAACATCACAATCGTATTCCTTAGCTATCAAGGATTTGGCATCCTAGAAGTTTCATTACCACAAACAATAATAAGCCAGTGGTCAACATTTGTTTTTGGACTTCAACCTAGCAGTAAATATCTATTGGGACTTACTGACATAATGGCCAAGTAGTATGAAAGTATAGCTTTTGAGACCGTCATACGGAGTATTGTTTATATTTTCACTGAATAATTAGCAGGCTCTTAAACTATTTTTTCCGTGTTTTTTTTTTCATTTCTAAGCTTTCGTTTGACCCATAAATTATTGTCATATTACCCCAAATTTATCATTAATTATTTCCCTAACACTCCGGTTTTTATCACTTATGAATAAGTTATTCACACAATGTAATTTTCTAGCTCCGTTGCTGGGTACTCCACGTATATTATGCGAATTTCGAGTAATGATTGAACAGAATACAATCGAGAATTAATCAGCTTTCTGTCTCCGTGTTTTAACCGGGCATTGGATTAAAAGATCGAGGACCAATAACGGCCGGGATCTTGGTTGTTGTTCACTAGTCGCAGTCATTTTGTAAATAGGTTACCGGTCCTACAAGCAGCATATGTGAATTGATCAATAGTTGGTTCCGAGAATGGAATTCCTACCGTAATAAATATTCGAATAAACAAACTCCAGGACTACATAAGCAACCGTTTCTGTTTTCATCGTTTCATCACTTACAAAACAAAACATGATTTCAATGGTTGATATTTCTAAAATCAGTAAACTAACAAACTGAGTTTTGCTGAAGAATCCCAGCGAATAGCAAAGTAACTAGAAAGCGCTCACTATTATACAAGATTTCTTCTTTTGATATTAGATGACTTAGAATACTACTTATGAATTCATTAAAAATTCGTAGCATGACTGCATTGAATTGCATGAGTAGTTTGGAAAGAACCACATCAAAACTAATATAATTGAGAAAAAACGTTTATTCAAAAGATAAGTATTTAACAATTTACATTTTTGTAACTATAAGTCTACAGTTCAACAATTGAAAAGTAAACTGTATTTGACATTGTAAAACAGTGGGCGATATATTACAGCGGGGTCGTTAGTGGTGGTTAACTTTTGTTGGATTCTAGTATATCTTTGGCCTGATTGATCTTAGCAGCCAAGTATGGGGAACCGCCTGAATTAGACATATGATAAACATATTACACTTAAGCAAATTAAAAGATTATACTTTGTGCAAAATATTCATATAAGAAAAATAAATAACTACCCAAAACTGACGGGCATGGACCTGAAGACAATTTATGAAATGATGGTTAAAAGTACACCTTTGTTGTTTGTCAGGTAAGTCATTTTTTAAAGTTGGACAATAACTTTTTACGAATACATCTTTCATATCTAGTTAGTAGTTTTATTTCATTGTAAGTTAGTCACTTCGTCTGTTCTGAAATTATTTTTGGCATTTCATTTACGTAAGATATTCATTAACAAGAAACTCCATTTTGATCCTTGTTACTGTGAACTGACAAAAGCTGTAAAAGTGGTAGGGCTTGAGTAGCAAGCTTTTATTTTATTCTTTTCAAGAAGCCGATGGAATATAGATAGACAAAATAACTTGGATTACTCTGTTGATAGAAATCTCAAGTTTACATTAAAGTGTAAATACTAGGGTAGAGGTATGCAGATATATGAACAAATCCTTCTTAAGGAATTTTAAAAAATAAATTGTGAATAGCTTACATTAGTACACTGACCATTATTATTATTATTATTACATGGATTTCAGTCAGGAAGCTTACACTTTCTGATACAGTTAAACACGGCAAATAATGATCTTGTTCCGGGTTGCCATTCCATAGTTGATATCCAACTTACTACTATACCAGTTAGTACAGAATGCTGATATAAACAGTGGGTGAGATATGTAAGGTTATGAATTAATCACTGAGGGGAAGTACGATCCTTTGCATAGGTCACCGAATAACATTATTGAAAATCTCGGAAGTGGAAACTTATATTTTCCCAAATATTAGACACTTTATAAACTTATGGGTTGGATATTCCTGTCTGATGAAGTAGTTTAACAGTTTAAGTAACATAATTTCTTAACATAGCAAAGAAATTTGACAATAAACAAGCACCAAAATAAAACTACGAGAGTGAAACCAAAGAACGAGGTGCAGTTATATAGAATATCAAACCCGAATATTCATGCAAATAAATGCGAATAACCGAGATACATGATTACGAGAAATTAAGTTGTTTTGAACCACCAGGCTCTATATTTCTGCGAAATTCAACTAAGAAGCCCAGATTGAGCCCATGCAGAAATCTACGAGGGTGAGCAATATGTACATAATTTACAATCTTAAAACAAAAACAACGAGCGAATTTTAATAGCTAGTCGTAGCATGTACAACCTTTATTCAATTAATTAGTGAGCTACAGAAAACAAACACAGGCTTACAAGACAGAATATAGATTATCGAATCTTCAACATGCCCAATAATCCTAACAGATTATAAATAACCAAAATCGAATAATAATAATAATAATAATAATAATAATAATAATAATAATAATAATAATAATAATAATATGGAACTGATTAAGGATAAGGAGTTAATTGGTTATAATATTGATACAGAAGTTAACATAAATTAGAAAATTAGTGATAATTTTATTCTGAACTCACCTTTATCGGGATGGTTAAGAAGCATGATCCTCTTATGAGCATCCCTAATTTTATTTCTACTTGACTGTTGACTAAAATACAAGACAAAGATGAATACTTCTTTATAAAATAAATGCACACCTTTCAATGCTTAAATCTATAAAGAATAATCAGTATCAGGTAAGAGATAAAGGGCAAGTAATTAAATTTTCAGACAGTCTAGTTGAATATGATGAAAGCATACCTTAAAAAGTTTTTAGCAACTCTTGTGAAAGCAAAGCTGATTCTTAATGAGAATGGTGGTAGAGATGAAAAATTCATTACACAAATACCCCCAAAAAGATTGGTGTTAGTATTTAAAGCTACAATCAGGAGTTTGAATCAAGATTTACGGTTAGGAGTAAGTTAGGATCAGAGCGCAAGAATGCTTAGTAAACATATAGATTAACATATGCTGAGTTCTTTGTAAATAAAAACGATTCTTAATTTTTTTGGAGGCTTTTAAAAGACAAATACCAAGTTTCAAGTCTTTGAAATTATAATATTGACAAAACATTCTTGGCGTTAGTGATGTGACATCAATTTACAAACAAAAGGGATAATCGATTTTTATTATAAATTCAAATCAACATATTGAAAAAATTATCACACTAAAATAGTTCGAAATTGGTCAGCTAAATAATCTGTATCATCTACATTGCATACAATCGAAGTGAGAATATTTAATGAGCAACTGGATTTTAAACCTAAACTATTTAATTCACTTGGTATTGTTTTACTTGAATCTTCCCATTGATGTTTTAGGACTGATCAGTCTCTTATTGGCATATGTGCATACTGTGCGTATGCCTCGATATTGCCTTAATTTACAAGCATTATAAGCAAAGATGGATAGTGGCTAGCAGTGGAAACCAGGACGCGCGTTTCATCCTGTTTGGGACTCGTCAGCTGGATGTAACTGCATCACACAGTTGATATTCACTCAGGGACTCGAATTAAACTTCACTCCATTGCACAAGCAAGTGGCTATCAGGACTCAGTAGCTAAGTGGATAACGCAACGGCGTTTGAAGCGAACGGTACTGAGTCCGAGTCCCCGAGTGAACACCAACCCAGATGCACGTACATCCAGCTGACGAGTCCCAAATAGGACAAAACGCGCGTCCTGGATTCCACTGCTAACTACTATACATCTTTGCTAAACTATTTATTTATTACCATTTTAACACATAGATATTGGTACAAGGAGGCACCAAATATATATGTACCACACAGACCTCATATGGTATGTGTGAGGGCTGTGATACTGCCCGGGTGCCCGAACCGGAGCATGTGGTTTTCTTAGGGGGCCACTCCCCGAGCCTTTGACCTGAAGGTCTGATCCACAAGGCAGTGGAGCAACGTCATGAGATGCAGTCCCATGGAAGCCGGTGACCAACGATTGGTTATACGCCATTTGTTCCCTCAGGATACTGGAGCCCATATACACCATTGGTTTGGAATCAGGGTTTTCCAACTCCCCTATGTGGGCTCTCCATGTCCACCAACCCGGTTAAAGCGTCGAACGTTCGCTTTTCGTTTCCTCAATTTCGCATCTGCTTGCGCCTCACTGGACGCAAAAAAGCAACATTAAAAAGACCCGTTAGAACTGAGTTGAGTAACGAGAAAACCAAAAGTAGGTTCCAGGAACAACTGAGGTCACACTTAGGTAGTTGTGAAGACGAGGCTGACCCAGATGTTGCTTGGAAGGGCATACAATCAGCTGTGGAAACAGCAGTGACATCTATTAGTGACTTAAACCACAGAGTTGCAAGGAACCAGTGGATTTCTTCAAAGTCTATCACACTGATGGATTCTCGCAAACTCGTCCCATCAGGTTCTGAACATGATGAAGAGCGAAAACAAATCAGATCTAGGTTAAGAAAAAGTCTAAGGAACGACCGTGAGCAGTGGTGGGTAACGAAAGCAAAAGAGATGGAAAAGGCGGCGACTATAGGGAACACAAGACAGCTTTACAGACTAATAAAAGAAACTGGAATTAATAAGTCAAGTGTAAGTGAGATTATTTCGGAAAAAGATGATACTCTCATCTGCTCCCAGTCCAGACGTTTAGAACGAGGGGCGGAACATTTTAGAGAACAGTTCAGCTGGCCTTCAGCTACTCTACAACTACCCTCCATTTCCAGACAATGTGAATGGAACATTGAAGTAGGTCCTCCAACTCTTGCTGAAGTTCAAAAGGCTATAGTTAATCTGAAACGAGGAAGGGCAGCTGGTCCAGATGGATTGGCTCCAGAGGTCTTTAAGGATGGTGGTCCAATTTTAGCGATTAGGTTGACTAATATTTTAGCTAAGATCTGGGAATTAGACTTTATCCCATCTGACTGGTCGCAATCACTTATCGTCCCAATATATAAGAAAGGGTCAAAATCATCCTGTGATAACCACAGAGGGATTAGTTTAACAAACATAGTATCTAAAATACTGGCCTCGATAATTATCAGACGTCTAACTAAGACTCGTGAACTACAAACTCGAGAGAACCAAGCTGGCTTTAGACCTGGTCGTGGCTGCATCGACCACATATTCACCATTCGTCAGGTTCTAGAACACAGGCATACCTATCGGCGTCCGACGATGGTGGTCTTTCTTGACTTAAAAGCAGCGTTTGACTCTGTAGACCGCGAGACTCTGTGGCAGTGTCTGTCATTGAAAGGCGTACCTCAGAAGTACATAAACCTTGTGAAGGCTCTTTACTCGAACACTACTAGTCGAGTCAGAGCTTATGGCGAACTGTCATCTACTTTTGCAACTTCAAGTGGTGTCCGTCAAGGCTGTCCACTTTCCCCATTTTTGTTTAACTTCATCATAGATCTACTGATGGAAATAACTTTCTCGTCGACTGAGTTCTCGAGTATTGATCTCCTACCAGGAGGTCCACTTATCGACTTAGAATACGCAGATGATATAGTCCTGTTTGGTGAAGACGCTGACAAAATGCAGAGTCTTTTGGTAGCACTAAGCAACAATGCCAGAATGTTTGGGATGCGCTTCTCTCCCTCTAAATGCAAGTTGTTGCTTCAGAACTGGTCTGCGTCAACACCTGAACTAAGGATAGGGAGTGAAGTAGTCGAACGCGTCGACAACTTCACTTATCTTGGAAGTCTGATCAGCCCTAATGGGTTGGTGTCTGACGAAATCTCAGCACGGATTCGAAAAGCTCGTTTGGCTTTTGCCAACTTACGTCACCTTTGGCGGAGGCGAGATATCCGTCTATCAATAAAAGGACGAGTATACTGCGCGGCAGTCCGTTCTGTCTTACTTTACGGCAGCGAAACATGGCCTTTAAGAGTAGAAGACACCCGTAAGCTACAAGTATTTGACCACAGATGCCTCAGAAATATTGCTGGCATCTGCTGGGATCACCGGGTAAGTAATAGTGAGGTTAGACGTAGGGTATTAGGGAATGATGGTAAATCAGTTGATGAGGTTGTTAATCTTCATCGACTGAGATGGTTGGGCCACGTATTACGTATGCCTGAACACCGATTACCACGACGTGCAATGCTAACCGGTGTTCGGGATGGTTGGAAGAAAGTTAGGGGCGGCCAAACCAAAACGTGGCATCAGTGCTTGAAGTCACTAACTTCTAGTCTGAGCCATGTTGGTAGATGCAGACTACTTGGTTGGGGTCCGCGTGACTATCGTAACCAATGGTTGGAGACTCTTGGTGACATGGCTCAGAATCGATCACAATGGCGTAGGTGTATACACTCCCTGTCTTCTCTTAAACTAAGAGATTAAAATGACTTTATATCTTTCTTTCTACTAACTAATTCTTCCTTCCTATACCATATCCTTATTGCAACCTTTGACCTAACCACTCCTATGAATCCGGTGTTCATCTTGTTGTGCTAATGAGGTATGGCAACCTGGACCGATGCACATATGTGCCTGGTTCTACGTTGTAGCTGACTGACTGACTGACTGTAAACAACAGTAGTGCCACGAGAAGGCAGTTAGTAGGACTTTCGTGGCAGAGGCTATATACGCGTGGCCATGTGAGAGCATTTCGAGAGGGAGAGTGGACTCTCCCCACTCTCGACCGTACCAGGGCATTTGGGGGCAAACCTAAACTAGCCAAAGGTTGTTCTTGCATATAAGGAAGCCAACTGAGAGAAGTGATGGAATCCCACTATTTTTGGTACAATAAAATCAGTTGGTATTGCTAATAGATGATGTAGCAAAAGATGAAGCTTTATCAGACCATTTTAGTATTGTTTTCTACCGACGATGGTGAAAGACAATCAATTATTTGTAATTATAGATGCTTATTGATAAATCCTCCGGTTATTGAGGAGATGCCTTTCAAAACCTCAAACCAGATCAGTCCAATGATCCTGACGATATTTATCACAGGATTATAAAAGCCCTAGCAGATGTCGTTGCCGAACCTCCGGCAATACTGCCTAAGCTACCAAGGTACTGGAAAGACGCAGTTATCAATGAGGCCTATAGAGCGGGGTGTAGAGACATAACTATCGACCCGTTATTCTAACCAGCGTAGTTGTTAAACTAATGGGATGGCTGTTTCAAACTCTCTGGAAGTGAATAATCTTTTAGACAGGGAACAACATGGCTTTAGGGAAGGCTTATCATGCTTAAAAAAATTGGCATGAAGCAAAAGATAGAAATATTTCATAGTAATTTTCATAGAACTACGTAAAGCCTTGATAATGTCTTTCACCTTGGTTTTGGATCCATTATGAAACCACAAACTGGATGAGTGATAGAAGACAACAGGTACGGGTAAACGGGGGTCCACTAACATGGGAACCTGCCAAGCGTGGAGTTCCCCAAGAGGCAGCCCTCGGCTCTCTTCTTTTCCAACCTTGTTTAAATGAGTCACTGACTGCAGCAAACTCATCTGTTCTCTTTGCAGATGAAAAAGATTTGGAGACCCACAAACAATATGTCAGATAAGGCAATACTACAGGATGACTCAAACTAACTGATTGAATTGATGTGTAGGTAGTGATTAGAAGTTAACTGTAACAAGAGTATGGTGGTGAAAATAAACAGATGCGACGATTCATATCATTATACACTAAGCGAAATTGTTACCTGAAGTAATGGATTGGGAGTCATAATAAGCAACGACCTTAGAACTACGAGTAACTGTAAAGCTGTTACTGCCAAAGGATTCATGGTTTTATGGGCTATTTGCGAGTCATTCCATTAGTTGGTCGAAGAAATGTTTACGATATTATACCTGACTTTTGTGAGGCCGCATTTAAAATATAGGAGTAAAGCAGCGAGTCCTTTTTTAAGTATGAGGCGGATATGCTAGAACGCGTTCAACGGCGAGGGACCAAGATGGTAAAATATCTCTCTGTCTTATGAAAAGATTAAGACGCCTCAACCTATTTCCATTCTCTTATCGCAAGTTACGGAGTAATATGAAACTGGTTTGCCGTACACTAAACGACGATTTTGGTGTGTGTCTTATCTTTTCCTTCCAATTTGGACTGATGATCTGAGGACATATTGAAAAGTTCAAAAACCGAGATTAAATCGTTCACATGTGAAGTTCTGTTTTCTGCACCGAGTAGTGAATTACTAGGATTCCGCAGAGACTGGGTCTTCACAGTGCTACAAATTGCAAGGTTTATTATAGGTCGGTTGACCTCCTATCCTCACTACTGAAGACTAGAGCCAAACAGTAAAACCCGTTCATCCAATGACCGGTTAGTCCGTCGCGTTTCCAATTGCACATTAGATTTATTTACTATGAAGTGGCTTAATTTAAGTCACGAAACACCAGAAATGCATTTTTTCTACTCATTAGGACATAATGATATGTTTATTAAGTTTATTGTTTTGCAGATGAATTATAATGACAAAACTAGGGCGTTTATTTATTTAAAAAAATTGAATGATGCATTTGTCGGCTATCGACTATCCTAAGTAGTAAGTGAGAATAACGATCAAATAGTCAACGGAAACAAATAATCCACTGACTAAGTGGGGATTCATGAACCCAGTCTTGATTAACACTAACAAAACCAAACTTACCTCACTCCAAGAATTAAGGCAGCTTCACGCCGGGACATATTTTGTTCAAACCCCCCACGATAATACTTGGAGCCATTCTGAAAGCAAAGTAAAGACAAAGTCAGAACTTGGTGTGTTTGTTTACACTACTAGTTTGTGATTGTCTGTTAAGTCGGGGTCGTAAGCACGTAAAAATGGTTTTAGTGAGCAACACCAAGAGATCATGGGGACTAAATAAGAATTTAATTTCACCACACCGGTAGATCGACCAGCATTCAGAATAGAAGGTAGTTGAGTAAAATGGTTAGACAGTTAAGTTAGAATTTTGTGGGTTAAGTCAAGACTGAATATCCGCTTACGCTAGTAAATGCACCTATAAATGTAAACTGAAATATAACAGTAAAACGTCAGAAACTATTTTGAACAGAATCGATGGTTTCAACACTTTATGGCTGATTTCCATAAAACTACAGTGAGCGTGTATTGAGTAGCTTTGTCAGAGGAATAGGAGAGAAATATCAGTTCATATAAGATTTTAACGCGAAATGTAGTAGACTGCATACCACTTGTGTAGTAGATTGAAATCCCTAACATCTACAGATTGCTTAAGTGGCCAAAAATTAACCTCTAGGTGTTCATCTGAGATAACTTAAGATTCACCTTGCAGCATATTTAGTAAAACATAAGAAACAACTTTCATAGCAATCCTATTACACAGTACACCACAACTATATTCTGTAACAATTATATCAAACAGGACAGCACTTACTAGTCCAGATATACTGAAAAGCTTTTGTATACTACCAATATTCGTATTCCGTGTTATATAACGTCCAGCAACTCCTACGGCTATCATACCCAATCCTAATAAAACAGGTGTCGACTAACGATAGATTAAGTGGTTATTTAGTCTCACCATCACTTCATTACTATCAGCAAATAATGTTGTTCAGTTAGGTGGCAAACTGAGCCTACGAGTTAAATATATGAAGAACGATTACAATTATGTACGGGCGTTTGACTAGTCACGTTAAGACGCGCGTAACGAATATTGTCTGAAATAGCGCCAAACCTTCAAGAATGGTTCAAATAATTGTGTCCTCAGTCTTCAGTAGTAAGGATAATAGATTGGTTGACCTGTATTGATCATCGTGAGTTGTTTTCCAGCGAATTTACGGTTTCTCTTTAAAAGTCTTTGCTGACAGGGCTGACTCCACTTGTTTGGGTGTAGCGTTTCAGAAATTGGTCGTCAGATGCGAAAAAACAGAATCCTAGTCTGGGTCTATTTGAGAGTGATTTTGAACACTCGAGATGTGATCTTGAAGTTACTATCTGTGAAGGGAGTAGAATCATAAAATATTTTAAAGCCTTAATCATTTGAGTTATGAAATGCTAATCCAAGATTACCTTTCTTTCCACGGTAATGAGGACAGGTTTTTTGGTTATTAAAGCGCTCATCGAAGAAGAGTTTAAAGGGTTCCATAAATTACTTGGTTCGCACACAGCAGCTTATTCCAAGTGTGATGGTTTCCTTAATAAGATGTGAACTAGCCTCCGTGACGTAATGCTCTGAGTTCTTACATGGGGTGCGGAACTCGAAGTATATCATCATGAAAACATTTGGGTACTCGGCGACTTGACTATAGGACTCAGAAACGAGTTGCAGTTGAAAAATTCTAATGTTTAGTTCTTTCAAAGTTACGAGTCACCATTACTCCCTAATCTTTCTGTTTCTGCACGCGTGGAAGCGATGTACCATTGACAGTAAAGTGATAACCCTTGGGGATCCGGCGACTTAACAGATATCAGGTTAATAAGTGAGCAAAGGAGAGCTTCTTCAGTCCTGTGTTGGTATCTTTGTGGTGTGGTTATGGGAAGTAATAATAGCAATATCTGCCTAGCAAATGTCGCTGAATGAGTTTGATGGAATTTCAGCTTCGGCCATATCTGTCTTAAGTCGCACATCCGAATTCTTGTATAGTAGTCACGGAGGTTGAGATAATGCAGTCTCCGATTGCGAAAATGTTAACCCCCCAGATAGTGGAACAGGATGGAGCAAATACATACTGCACAATGTTCGTCCAAAACATAAAGTACAATACGTGATCACTGTTAGTTGATGAAGGTAGGTACTGAATGTCAATACCTTCATAGTCGTGTGCAAAGACAAGATCTAACAATATCGGTTTTTGTTTCAAGTCAATGTGTGTTCGGTTTTGCAATACATTGTACAGGTGCTCACTAGGCAATAGTTGTTAGTAGGGTGCCGTCAAAACATCTACCCAATGTCGTAAGCTCTATCCAATTGGCATGTGTCTCGTCGAAATCCCTAAAGACGAGACATTGATCACCCGTGCTCCTCACGGGGATGTAAATTGGGGCAAAATCGTCAGCAGAAGAAGAGGGACTACAGTATATTGTTTCTTTAGTCTCTAATCGATGTCTAGATTCTATAGTCTAACCAGCTGCCTCATATGTGCTTCTACTACATGCTTCTGATAAATGGGGCTGTGCACTAAAGTGATCCCTAACACAGCGCTATACCTCCAATCCTAGGTTTCAATAAGCTTATCACTTCTGGTACAAATGTATTCTGCAACAGTTGGAGAATATTCCCCGTTCAAAATAAGCTACGCTTCTATGGCGACGGTCGTAGCTGGGCTTCATCTTTTGATCACCAAGATTAGCCCGGACGTCTTATTTCGAAGACCACTAAGGTTTGTGTGGCACATACTTAAGGCCTTGAAGAAATTGCTTGTTCTACCCGTAAAGGCCTCAAAAACATGGGCTCTCAAGGCTTGATTACCTGGAGAACCATGAAACATAAGGTTCGCTTCATTATTTTCCTTCCAAGTTTTCACCTCAGTTATGGGATCCTTCCACCCAGTTCGGTCATTCATTCACAAGTCTGGCCGAATTTTTGGGCTACGAATTTTGCATACAACAGTCATCCTAGTATCTCTTTCTTCGTTACTTCCGAGAACTATCTTAAGATCTTCCCTTGTTGGGTTCCGCCTCTAATTCACTTTCCGAGTCTTGTTGCTTTAGTATATGCGTAAAACAAGATTATATGTGATAGGAATATATATTTGCGATAAGTTAAGAAATGTTTACTTAGTACATACACATAGTGTTTAGTCATCTAATTGTATCATTTGACGTGTTCTGGATTCTGGACCGTCTTCTCATGCGATCGCCAAGTGCACTGTCAACGCCGCGCTTCTATGCACCGAAACTCTTTACTCCGACTCCCAACTGCTGCAACTTTGAAATCACATTCCACTACATACAACTTACAAACATTCTTGTGGGTGGTGGCCACTATATATGTACTCCAAGAGCCTCTTCTAGAGATACATGTCAAACTGCAGATTTCGCCGATTACATATAATATGTGTATCATTCAGTTAGCTCGTTTTCTGCTGGCTCCTCCAGGTTTTAAAGAATCAAAGTAGGGAAGCATTTGACTTCCTTCAACGTTGTATTCACAGCTTTTGATTGAGTTGTTACCCTTCACTTCCACATAACCAACGTATGCTTTCTTGTCATTTTCCCATTCTGTTTTCACAGTTCAAAGTGAGGCTTGTTCCGAAAACTAAATGGCACAATTAATCAATGTGGCAAGACATGCTTTCTTTTATAATGCAAAAGATAAAGTGAATAAGCCTGGCTAGTGATCCAAAGAAAAGTAAGTTTTAATGGAGCTTAGACACATTACCGATTATTTGCATATGTTTTTTTATTTCTTTCCGTATAAGTTTTATTATGACGTTACTATTTACTGTATACTTATTTTCAGCTGGTTTCAGAAATACTTATCGGTACTTACTGTAAATTTTTTATCAGCATATATTTTTACGCTCACTTTGGTATAGAATATGGATGTCACATGGGACTATAGGTTATGGCAGATTGCATTTCAGAGTTCATTATGATCTTCGCCACATCATGTATTTGTTCATATTTTGTTAGCATTGAGACTTTTGACATTACGGTTACTAAATAAAAGACCTATGGTAAGCCCAATAATTTTTTATTACCTACCTGTTATAATCTAGACGATTAACTCACTATGTAAAAGTATGTTAGTTTGATTGAAAGCATGTCCGCACCTCAAAAGTTTGTCTAGCCTTCCATTGCTTGTTAACACAGACAATAACTTACCCACGATTTATTAACACTTATAAAATACACATGAATATTTCGACGTTTTACTCTCACTCACCCGCTTTCCATTGTGTTTGCATTGTAAATGCTCGCAGATTTCAATAAATATTAACAATACACTATCCTAATAACTTGTGTTCTAGCTTTCAAATATTCTCGAGTAAATTCACAGTACTACTAAAAGTGTAATCCTATTAAAATCGTCAGTTAGCGGGATATTATCTATTGGAGTCCTATAGATAGGGATTAGTTTATACACACTATCGTTTCTATGTATGTAGAACAGTATTGGCGAGAGTTGGACTTCTACGCGATAAGCTGACCAACAGATTCATCCTAGATGAAAAGAATATGAGAACATTGATTACTCCTGAAAAGTGCGTATGTATTTTTTTTATTTTGACACAGAATCTCATTTATAACACATCAGTCTTTTAACCATGGCGATGGTGATATGCATAGCGTTTGTTATTACGAGTGCTAACAAGATAGCTCTACGTCGATAACTTGAATAAAATGTGACTTCTAGTTCACATTTTTTGTCCTCTAAGAGTCGCTTAATTTGTTTCACATAGAACTCTTACACAAGCTATGTGTTAATAGTCACTTCAAAGAAGATTGTCTGTGTTTTCGTTGCCTTTATGACTGTATGACTGAGAATAAATGAATTAGGTGAGAACCTTAATATCAGTGTTCGTAAATGTATATTTGTGTGCTTGAATTAATTGGCAATTTCGGCAGTAATAAACAACCAAAGTATAGTATCAATGAATGGATATAAACGGACTGAGATAACAGTAGTATCTGAATAACGTCATAATTATTCAGTTTGATTAAATTGACACTTACGCTAAGAATCATCTTCGGTTATGCCACAATGGAAACGACAAACTGAATTGTACTAATGCATTAGACATTTACATGCTCAATGAGATTTATACATGAAAATGAGTAAACATTCGTGCTCATTCAATATGTCCACATTAGATACACTAGGTTCTTTAATATCAACGCTTACTCCTAAACAAATTTTTTTTACTACACAGTAGGCTAATTCGAACCCTATATTAAGGAATTGTTTGGAATCATATCAGAAGTTATCTCCTCCGAAAAGCTCAATATACTAACGCAACTGCATCTGTCCTACTTGCTTAAAAGTCGTTAACCAGAGCATTGTAGATCGACGTTCGTTTATTGGCAACATGACCTTTGTTTCGGGACGAATGCACTGCTTTTCTTATGACTTAATAGTCCGTTAAGTTACGGTTATGTATTTACTGTCCGATGAGGAAGCCAATAAATCGTTATCCTACGCAGTAATAACCTAAGTGGTAATCAGACGAGCGTCATACGGGACAGATGTACTACGTATATGTTCCCGGAGGACTAGGTTATCCAAATAATGTTAATCTTGATATCATGAACATGACCGATTTCTCCAGATAGCTTCGGTATACACTATAAGCTTGCAGGATATGGCGACGCATAAACCTGTCATGAGCATCTGTGCAGGTTAGTAATACCGGTCTACCTTCCCATATTGCTGAGAATATGGAAAGAAGTAGTTATGGATTACTGCATATGCTATTAGATCATTACTAATGCAAAAAGTACATTCGATCACACGTCATTGTGAAATATGTTCATGATGTAATTTAGCTTCCCTGATAGTTGTCCGGGTATCTAAATAAGTAAGGTTGGCATATATTAATGATAGCAAAAATTCTCTGTACAATTGTGTTGTCCTAGATTGACAGATGCATAGTATAATTACTAGGATGTATTACGGGACAACGGATTGATTACTCATTACGTGCACGTCATGTCATCTGAAAATATCGGAATTATATTTCTCTTACATGCTTGAAAACTTTTGCGCATTTCCGAACTCATCCCATGTCAAAAACTTCGGAAA